TGTGTGTGTGTGTGTGTGAGTGTGTGTTAGAACTGAAGACAAATCCATTTATGTCTATTTTAGATTTTATAGTTTGGTCCATGTCCCCCAGCCACCAGGGGGCGATCGAGGTAATTAGCTGACAGTCCCTCCACCAAACTAATCCTCTCCAGGTCTTTTAAAGTTCGGAACGACCCTGTCGGACCTGACACACACTCGACCTCGTGTGTGTGTGTGTGTCCTGCTGTTTTAGTGGTGAGGTAATGTGTGAGTCGTCTGTCAGGAGGGTGAAGACTGATTCAGTTCATCAGTGTTGGAGGAGGCGGCCTCTTCTTTTATGTAGAACACACACATACTCCCATCCCCCTCCGTTCAACCCTCACAAAGAGGAGGTCAGAGGTCGGCTTCTTGGCGGCAGTTTCAAACACACACACTTCAAAGCGTTTTCTCTGCCATGTTGTTGGGCGATGTCATTCCCTGACCCCGCCCCCGCCCCCTCAGTGGTCATCTATTTATTAATTGAGTGTGCGAGAGGTTGTGTGTGGAAACGTGTCCGAAGTTTACCTGTCGACACGTGAACAGTCTGAACCCGATCAAACTCACCTTTGTTCTCGTTACGTCTTTACATCAGGGGTCAGGGGTCAGCCTCACTGTGATGTCATGTGACCTGTAGCTGTCCGCCTCTCTCTCTCCGCAGGCCTATGGCTGGGCGCTGGAGGGAATGCGTCATCTAGCCGGCGTCAGTATGGAGGAGTGCACCCTGCCAGACAAGTGCCAGGCTGTGATTGGCTGCCTGGAGGACTACCAGAGTCGGCACCCACCGATCCCAGACTCACGTTTTCAGGAGATGAAGGTGGAGGCGGAGGAGCTGCGGGGCGAGCGAGGCCTCCACCAGTGGAGCTTCGCCTGGTCCAAGTGTCAGGAGACCAAGAAGGTGTTTGACAGGAAGATGGAGGCAGCGATCAGGACACGAGACTCCGCCCAGAGTAGATGCTCTGACCCTGCCCCAATTAGAAGCTCCACCTCCTCCAGGAAGATGCCATCAGGACTCCGAGGGGTCTGCCAGACATCTTCCCCCTCCTCCTGCCCTGTAGAGGATGCCAACACCTCCTCACCTCCTCGTAACGCCTCCCCGCTGCTCCCCATCACCTCCTCACCCATCACCTCCACCCCCCAGCACACACCGCTCCTCCAGCGTCTGTTCCGTAGCAGCTCCTCGGATGTGTCTTCAGACCGTTCAGACCGGGTGGACGTCTGCTCCTCCAGTCCCAGCCTCCCCCGCCTCGACTCCCCCTCCTCCTCCTCCTTCTCCAGTAGGCGGCAGCATCTCAGGAAAACTCAGAGCTTCGACTGCCCCTCCACCCCCGAGGCTTTGCGGTATGGTCCATGTCCTCGCACCCACAGCGAGCCAGTACGCAGAGGAAACACCGGCGTGTTCATCCGCGGCCTGGAGGTCAGTAGCACCGAGGCGGCCGACCGCACGCTCTGCCCCAGGACGCCTGCTCACAGCTGGGGAGGTCAGGGATGCAGCCCCGGGACGCCCAGCACCCCGCGAACCACCGGCAGCCCCGCAGCTGACCCCCGACCCAGGGGAAGGTGGGTAATCTGCAGCAGGTGGAGGAAGTAACTTCACAATAACAGTCTGGTAACATCTATGAATGACGAGAAGAATTTATTTAGTGAACATAATGAATAAATAATAATAAGATAAAATAATAATACATTTTCCATAATGATGTGGAGACATAAAGTATTCTCCTTCACGTCTGTGCAGTAAGCTGCGTCACATCGTGGAGGAAATGATCACCACGGAGCAGGAGTACGTGCGCTCGCTGCGATACATCATCCATCACTACTTCCCTGAGATGGACCGCGTGGACCTTCCTCAGGACCTGAGGGGGAAACGATCCGTCGTCTTCGGGAACCTGGAGAAACTTCTGGACTTTCACAGTCAGTTCTTCCTCCGAGAGCTGGAGTCCTGCTGGAAACACCCGCTCAGAGTCCCTCACTGCTTCCTCCGACACGTAGGTCGCTCAGCACGCCGACACATTCATGTTATTGATAATTACGATGATCATTGTGTAACATTGCAGAGAGAGAGTGTGTGTGTGTGTGTGTGTGTGTGTCTGTGTGTGTGTCTGTGTGTGTGTCTGTGTGTCTGTCTCAGCTCATCCATATGTTGTCGTTCGCAGCAGGAACAGTTCGGTCTCTACGCTCTTTACAGTAAAAACAAACCTAAGTCTGACGCTCTGCTGTCCAACCACGGAAACTCCTTCTTCAGGGTGAGAACTCAAACTGTGACCTTTGACCTCTGGCGTCTGACGACTCCCTCTGACTGACCTCTGACCTTTTCTCCTCCGCCCAGAGGAAGCAGGTGGACCTGGGCGATAAGATGGACCTGTCGTCCTACCTGTTGAAGCCCATTCAGAGGATGAGTAAATACGCTCTGCTGCTCACCGACCTCATCAAGGAGGTGGGCGTGGCTCAGGAGGCGGAGCTTGTCGCCCTGCAGGCCGCCACCAAGATGGTCAAGTTTCAGCTTCGCCACGGAAACGACCTGCTGGCAATGGACGCCATCCGAGACTGTGACGTAAGTAAAGGTCACTGGTCAGACCTGAACCCCTGAGTGTGACATCACTTCCTGATAATGATCATTAGAAATCAGAACTTCTTGTAGAATCTTGATGTTTGTAAGTTTCCTTCAGCGTCGCGGTGATAAATCACTGAGTTCACTGCAAATGGGAGCCGATCACAGTCAATTCAGCTGCTCTTATTTTGAAAGCCTGACTGAGCGCGTCTGTGCAGGTGAATCTGAAGGAGCAGGGTCAGCTGATCCGTCAGGACGAGTTCACCATCTGGAGCGGCAGGAGGAAGTGTCAGCGTCACATCTTCCTGTTCGATGAGCTCGTTCTCTTCAGCAAACCCAAGAAGATGGAGGGAGGTCTGGACGTGTTCATCTACAAACACTCCTTCAAGGTAACCGCCGCCAACGCCGAGCGAGTCCGTACGACGTCGACTCCGATGACAGTCTGAGCTGAATACACCTGTTTGTCCTTCAGACCGCAGACGTGGGTCTGACCGAGTCGACGGGGGACAGCGGGCTTCGGTTTGAGATCTGGTTCAGGAGGAGGACGTCCAAGAATCAGACGTTCCTCCTTCAGGCGGCGACGCCTGACGTTAAACACGCGTGGACCAATGACATCGCCCGACTCCTGTGGACGCAGGCCAACAAGAACAAAGGTACAGAGATGGGGGCGTTCATCGTCCTCTGTGATGTCATCATGTGGGGACTGTGATCATGTGATGGTGATGTGTGTGTGTGTGTGTGTGTGGGCAGAGATGCGTCTGAAGGAGATGGTGTCGATGGGAGTTGGAAACAAACCGTTTCTGGACATAAAGCCGAGCGACGCCGCCATCAGTGACCGAGCTGTTCACTACATCATGAAGAGCCGAGGTAACGACACACACACACACACACACACACACACACACACACACACACACACACAC